GGTTTCACCACTTTGGCCAGGCTGGTCTCGAACTCGTGACCTCAGGTGACCCACCTGTCTCGGCCTCCCAAAGTGGTAGGATTACAGGCATAAGCCACCATGCCAGCTAGGTTCCAATTATTTTTACTCCCTTGATTTTCGATTTCTTCAATATCCTCTCACTCTTTATCAGTAACTTCTCTTACCTGCTTCTATACCAATACATTTTCCTGTTTCTTTGGGATATGTCAACATTTCATTTCCCTTTGTATATTTGGTCGAAAAATAAGTGCTTTAAATTTCACATGGATTAGATTCAGAAAACAGATGTATAGGCCAATGGACAGAAATCGATGTAAATCCATTTACTTGGTAATGCTACACATAGTCTAGAAAATTCTAGAATTTGATGCAAACTCATTTAAGGAACATAACCTGTTCTAATGTAATCACCAACTGTGTTACTGATGCAGATTGTTAATCTGTTTCATAAGTGTGTTGCTTAAAAAGATATCAAAACTATGTTCATTTATATTCCAACAATTTTTTTTTTTGAGACAGGGTCTTACTCTGTCACCCAGGCTAGAGTGCAGTAGTGCCATTTTGGCTCACTGCAACCTCTACCTCCTGGAGACAAGCCATCCTCCCATCTCAGCCTCCTGTGTAGCTGGTACTAAAGGTACATGCCACTACAACTGACTGCTTTTTGTATTTTTTGTAGAGATGGAGTTTCACTATTGGACTCAGACTGGTCTCGAACTCCTGAGCTCAAGCAATCTGCCCACCTTGGCCTTCCAAAGTGCTGGGATTGCAGTCATCAGCCACCATGCCGAGCCTATGTATTTTTTTAAATTAGTGTCTATGGCCTTAGTACTTTTAAGAGACCTAAAAAAGTTTCTTCTAACTGCTCTTCATACAGATTGCAAAGCAGTTGACAGTAATTGAGACTAAGTAGGAACAAGCTCCTGTTACCAGTGTCATTTCTGGAACCTAAGATGAATTTACGGCTCAGCCTTTTCTCTTTCTAGATAGCTATTAGAGAAGCAAAGAAAATCGTTTCAGCATTGTCAATTTGACGGAAATACTTAAAGGGCCTGTTGGCATAGTAGAGAAGGAGGCAGGAGTTGATTATTGCGACACTTAATTCGTGGACTCTGTCAGTGACCACTTGCAATCACAGGATTGTTGCAAGGATGAAATAATCCATGCTTGGCTGGGCGCGGTGGCCCAAGCCTGTAATCCCAGCACTTTGGGAGGCCGAGGCCGGTGGATCACGAGGTCAAGAGATCAAGACCATCCTGGTCAACATGGTGAAACCCCGTCTCTACTAAAAATACAAAAAAAAAAAAAAAATTAGCTGGGCATGGTGGTGCGTGCCTGTAGTCCCAGCTACTCAGGAGGCTGAGGCAGGAGAATTGCCTGAACCCAGAAGGCGGAGGTTGCGGTGAGCCGAGATCGCGCCATTGCACTCCAGCCTGGGTAACAAGAGTGAAACTCCGTCTCAAAAAAAAAAAAAAAGAAAGAATCCATGCTTTGAATTGAAAGTGCTTTGAAGAGTACAGAGTTCCCTGTGAGGGCCCAGTTGTGGCGATCGATATTATTTTCGTCCATTTTCTTTTTTTGGGAGCGTGGATAAACTGGAAAGTTCTGAAGAGTAAGGCCGCAACATGGAAAACCGTTTCTGGAATGCCCATGCTCAGCCTGCCCTCACCCAGGCCCGTAGCCCGGCAGCTCCTGTCCAGCGAGGAGCCTCTGCTTCATTCAGGACCACTATGATGAGGCAGCAAATTGTAAGGCTGCTGCATATGAAAGAATAGCGGGGGCCAGGCGCAGTGGCCCACGCCTGTAATCTCAAAACTTTGGGAGGCCGAGGCGTGCGGATCACTTGAGCTCCGTAGTTCAAGACCAGCCTGGCCAACATGGCGAAACCCGTCTCTTCTAAAAATACAAAATTAGCCGGCATGGTGACGAGCGCCTGTAATCCTAGCTACTTGGGACACACCCGTAGTCTCAGCTACTCGGGAGGCTGAGGCAGGAGACTCACTTGAACCCGGGAGGCGGAGGCTGCAGTGAGCCGAGATCGCACCATTGCCCTCCAGCCTGGGTGACACAGTGAGACCCCGTCTCAAAAAACAAAACAAAACAAAAAACAAAGCTTCTTTGAGGTCAGAGTGCCTCGTAGTGTGGTGCCACTTTCTCAGTAGGGATTCTGACTCAGAAGTGTTGCTGATTGTTCCAGGCTAGCTCCGTGGTGAGGAGGTGGAATTGATCCCCATCCCCTGACGCGGAATGCCTCGGAATCTCTGCGAAGTAGGAGACTGTGTGCCCCAGCTGGCCTAGGGCAGTCCTGGCTTGTGCCTGTTGTCCTGTGATTTTTGATAGGCCCCTCTTTCACACTTGGAAGTGTCCTGATTTGAATGATAAATAATATGGGCATTCTAATTAGAAGTGAATTTTGCTTTTTGTTATCATTTAAATGTTTTCTAATTTCTCAAACCTGCAATAGTTTTTCAACCTGAATTGTGACTCTTGAGTGACAGCAGTTATTAGAGGTACTCTGAGTCTAATCTCGTTTAGGGTTTTACGTCTTACAGGATAAATAGGGCCCAGCAAAATGTGAAAGAAATAATTGTATGATACTCTCTTCTTGAATTTTTTTAAATATATAGGATCTAGCTCAGTTGCTCAGGCTGCAGTGCAGTGTGATCATAGCTCACTGCAGCCTCAACCTTCCAGGTGCAAGTGATCCTTCTGCCTCAGCCTCCTGAGTAGCTAGGACCAAAAGCGCATGCCCCCATGCCTGGCTAATTTTTAAACTTTTTTTGTAGGGAGAGGGTCTCACTGCATTGCCCAGACTGGTCTCAAACTCCTGGCCTCAAGTTATCCTCCCATCTGGGCCTCTTAAAGTGCTGCGATTATAGACATGAGCCACCACACTGAGCCTGATACTTCCTTCTTTAAAAAAAAAAAAAAAAAAATCAGACACAGGTTTCTTACACAATTATAATTCTAATTTTTTCAATAATAAAACAATATTTTAATAATTTTTTAAACTTTGGTATGACAAGATTTACAACTGAAAATTTGCCAATTTAAGTTCTTTTAGAAAAATTAAGGAAGCCCGTATTTGTTTTTATCTCATAAGTTGTGTATCTGTTGTTTAAACTAGTAGTTAATGTTTATTCTTTGTCATTTTGATGATTCAGAAAAATAATCGAATAATAATTTTACAGTGTATTCACAGAGATGTAAAACCTGAAAATATTCTAATAACTAAGCAAGGAATCATCAAGATTTGTGACTTTGGGTTTGCACGAATTCTGAGTAAGTAGCAACATTTTTACTAATATTTAATTCAGATGATAACAAAATGACATGGTTTAAATTCTTGCTTTGGATATTGAATGTACTCCAAATGTTGTATTGTTGTTATTCAAAAAGGAAAATCTCACTTTAGCCTATTTGCACTTCAACTCTGCTCCATTCAGCTAATTTATTGTATGTCAACTTTCTGTGCTTTGCCCCATAGGAGAGGAAAAGAATTCTAAGAGCAGTTCTGCTCTTCATGCACTTATAATCTACAGTAAAAGAAACATAGAATAATACAAGATGATTAGCAATAAAGTACTAAAGTGAAGGGGCAGACGGTTCCCTGGAGGGAGATATTAATGTGGGCAAGAGTGGTTGAAAAATCTTCATGGAACTGGTGAGACTAGAAAGAATAAACTGAAAATTAAAGAGACAGGATTCAGAGACAGTGCTAAGAAAAAGGAAATCATTCCAGGCAAGGAGGAACTGAAGGGAAAGGGGGACAAATAATTGTTTCTTCCTCAATCTAGAACTTTACAGCAGACAAATATATGTATTAGCAACATACGCCTTGCAGTCTAGGTGTGGACATAATCGGTATTCTGACGGGGCCCAAACACGAGTGACTTGGCAATGCGTTTGGAAGGGCTGAGCAAAAACAAAAACTGATCAAGTCTCTCTGAGGTTGCTGTGCTTTGTGGTATAAGATGATAGGATCCTAATGATATGTGGTCCCTGTGCCATGGGGCTGAAAAGAGAAATAGACAAACACTGGAAGACTATCGAGCTGTGAGTGCTGCACATAGTACCATGGTGCATCAGTGTCATGAAATGCTAGGCTGCCATTAGCAGGGATGTTTGCAGTTTCAATGACATCCGCAAATGTTTAAGACACAGTAAGGGAAAAAGGAAAGTGAAAACATATGTACACAGTATGATCTCAGCTGTATAGGAAATACATTAAAAAATACTGAAATATATGCGAACCTCAATTTAGGAAATTAAGCGAATAATCATCATCCAGGCTGGGCACGGTGGCTCATGCCTGTAATCCCAGCATTTTTGGAGGCGAAGGCGGGTGTATCACAAGGTCCGGTGATTGAGACCATCCTGGCTAACACGGTGGAACCCTATCTCTACTAAAACGCTATCTCTACAAAAAATTAGCCAGGTGTGGTGCCACGTGCTTGTAGTCCCAGCTACTGGGGAGGCTGAGGCAGGAGACTCACTTGAACCCGGGAGGTGGAAGTTGCAGTGAGCCTAGATCATGCCACTGCACTCCAGCCTGGGTGACGAAGCGAGACTCCATCTCAAAAAAAAAAAAAAAAAAAAAAAAAAAATCATCCAATGTATGGTATAGATGCGGTGTCACAGATTTGGGGATTTTTCCTGGAAATCCATTATTCTCAGCTTGGGTGCTCTTGGTGTATAGCAGGGCTACTGATTTGTGTACATTAATTTTGTTATCCTGAAATTTTGCTGAATTCATTTACCAGTTCCAGGAGCTTTTTGAATGAATGAGTCTTTAGGGTTTTCTAGGCATACGATCATGGCATCAGCCAACAGCAAAAGCTTGACTTCATCTTTACCAGTTTAGATGCTATTTATTTCTTTCTCTTTTCTAATTGCTCTGGCTAGGACTTCCAATACTATGTTGAATAGTAGTGGTGAAAGTAGGCATCCTTGTCTTGTTCCAATTCTCGGGGGAAATGCTTTCAACTTTTCCCCTTTCAGTATCATGTTGACTGTGAGTTTGTCATAGATGGCTTTTATTACCTTAAGGTATGTTCCTTCTATGATTTTCCTGAGGGTTTTAATCATAAAGCGATGCTGAATTTTGTCAAATGTTTTTTCTGCATCTATTGAGATGACCTTATGATTTTTTTTAAATTCTATTTATGTGGTATATCACATTTATTGACTTGCAGATGTTAAACCATCCCTGCATCCCTGGTATGAAACCCATTTGATCATGGTGGATTATCTTTTGGATATGTTGTTGGATTTGGTTAGCTAGTATTTTGTTGAGGATTTTTGCATCTATGTTAATCAGGGATATTGTTCTGTAGTTTTTTTGTTTTGTTTTGTTTTTGTTTTTGTTATGTCCTTTTCTGGTTTTGGTATTAGGGTGATACTGGCTTCACAGAATGATTTAGGGAGGATTCCCCCTTTCTCTGTCTTTTGGAATAGTGTCAATAGTATTGGTACCAATTTTTCTTTGAATGTCTGATAAAATTTAGCTATAAATCTCTCTGGTCTTGGACTTTTTTCACTGGTAACTTTTTAATTATCATTTCAATCTCACTGCTTGTTATTGGTCTGTTCAGAGGTTCTATTTCTTCCTGGTTTAATCTAGGAGGGTTGTATATTTCCAGAAATTTATCTATGTCCTCTAGGTTTTCTAGTTTATGCACATAAAGGTGTTCATAGAAGCCTTGAGTGACCTTTTGTATTTTGGTGGTATCAGTTGTAATATCTCCTGTTTCATTTCTAATTGAGCTTATTTTGATCTTCTCTCTTCTTTTCTTGGTTAATCTTGCTAATGGCCTATCAATTTCATTTATCTTTTCAAAGAATGAGATTTTTGTTTCATTTATCTTTTGTGTTTTTTTATTTGTTTCAGTTTCATTTACTTCTGCTCTGATCTTGGTTTTCTTCTGCTGGTTTTGGGTTTGGTTTGTTCTCATTTCTCTAGCTCCTTGAGGTGTGACCTTAGATTGTCCATTCGTGCTCTTTCAGATTTTTTGATGTAGGCATTTAATGCAATGAACTTTCCTCTTAGCATTGCCTTTGCTGTATCCCAAGGTTTTGATAGGTTGTGTCACTGTTATTATTCAGTTCAAAGAATTTTTAAATTTCCATCTTGATTTCACTGTTGACCCAACAGTCATTCAGGAGCAGATTATTTAATTTCCATGTATTTGTATGGGTTTAAGGATTCCTTTTGGAGTTGATTTTCAATTCTATTCCATTGTGATCTGAGACAGTTCTTGCTATAATTTCTATTTTCTTAATTTTTTTTTGTTTTATGGCTTATTATAGGGTCTATCATCGTGAATGTTCCATGTGCTGATGAACAGAATGTATATTCTGCAGTCACTAGGTAGAATGTTCTGTAAATATCTGTTAAGTCTATTTGTTGTAGGGTATAGTTTAAGTCCATTGTTTCTTTTCTGACTTTCTGTCTTGATGACCTGTCTAGTGTTGTCAGTGGAGTATTGAAGTCCCCCACTATTATTGTGTTACTGTCTATCTCATTTCTTAGGTCTAGTAGTACTTGTTTTATAAATTTGGAAGCTCCAGTGTTAGGTATATATGTATTTAGGATTGTGATAGTTACCTGTTGGACTAGTTTTTTTAAAGTATCATTATATAGTGTCCCTCTTTGTTTTTTTGAACTGCCATTGCTTTAAGTCTGTTTTGTCTGATATAAGAATCACTACTCCTGCTCACTTTTGGTATCCATTTTCATGGAATACCTTTTTCCACCCCTTTACCTTAAGTTTATGTAAGTCCTTATATGTCAGGTGAGTCTCTTGAAGACAACAGATACTTGGTTGGTGAATTCTTATTCACTCTGCCATTCTGTATCTTTTAAGTGGATCATTTAGGCCATTTACATTCGACATCAGTATTGGGATGTGAGGTACTACTCTATTCATCATGCTATTTGTTGCCTGAATACCCTGAGTTTTTTTCATTGTGTTGTTGTTTTATAGGTCCTGTGAGATAATGCTTTAAGGAGATTCTATTCTGGTGTACTTCTAATATTTGTTTCAAGATATGGAGCTCCTTTTAGCAGTTTCTGTAGTGCTGGCTTGGTAGTAGTGAATTCTCTCAGCATTTGCCTGTCTGAAAAAGACTGTATCTTTCCTTCATTTATGAAGCTTAGTGTTTTTTTGTTTTGTTTTGTTTTTTTTGAGACAGAGTTTCACTCATGTTACCCAGGCTGGAGTGCAATGGCGCGATCTCGGCTCACCGCAACCTCCACCTCCTGGGTTCAGGCAATTCTCCTGCCTCAGCCTCCTG